TTCTCTGTCCCCAGTTTACAACAGTAATTACAGGTGAGTGGTGTATATTGTGTCTAATTTGCTATAAGGTGTGTCTTACTGTAACTTACAGGTGACCTGTACTTCACAGCTAGAAAATAAATCCTGGTTAATTAATGGCTGACTTCATTCACACTGTTTCATACAGCCTCTCACATTACATATTTTAGGTAGTGGGGTATAACTAATTCTAATCTAGAGTTCACTATTAACTGCAACTAATGCCCCCTTTTATATAACCATGGTTTATACAATATTTTAGCCTAAAAATATATCAGTAACAAAGCTAGATAAAAATGATCATGTACTGAATTAATACTGTGGGTTAGGTTCACAAAAACATCACAATGTTCAACTTTTAGACACCTAGGAAATCAATAGATTCACGAGCCTGAGTTAGGCACTCAGACGTTCTATGCAATGAATGGGGAGAGATAGGTACCTAAGAATGTGATTCAAAAAAGCCAACAAGCTAGCTAATGGGAGATGTCTTAAACTAGCCAATTTGAGATGACAAGGAGACGGTAGCGTCCTAAACACTACGTCTTTCACAGAGTTCAACATCTAAATCTGGAAGGAAGCACCTACCCCTGTTCAGGCTTATCAGCTGTGAACCCTTGCTTCGAGTCAGGTGTATACAATACTTTTTTCAATAAGCTGTTGTTAATGTCTTATACCAGGGCTACCAGTATAGGAAGCAAAACCGTGTTTCTTTGCCTTTACCACAAGGTTTCCAGGTGTCTGATATTCAACTGGAATACCAGGTCAAAAAGGGACCTGGCAGCTCTAGTCAGCATAACCGATTGGGCTAGCAAAGGTCCAATTGATGGTTCAATGGGGCCAAGGCAGGACCCTTAACTAAGCTGATTCTGCATGGCTCCTGAAAGCAGCTGGTATGTCAGCTTCGTAAGTGCTGTGTGCACACTCCACTGCTGCTATTTCGAAATAACTATTCCCCAGAGTCATTCTGAGTAATTACTCTCCAGTGCTTCCTGGGGCTCTAAGTCGAGGTAGCATGTCCACATTAAGGGAGCCTGTCTCGGACTTATTTCAAGGCTTCCCTGTAGTATGGACACTCTACTTCGAAATAATTATTATTTTGTGAGTTATTATTTTGAAATAAGTTATTTTGAAATCATTTGCTAGTGTATATATGCCCTTAGTGTTTGCAGAATTTAAGCTGTCATTTCACAAAAGTTTCTAATCCTTATGGTTGTGGAAATAGCTATTTGAATGTGAACTAGTACAGTTCCTGAGTGTACAACAGACTGACCTAGTACCTTCGACTCTGCATACAGATTCCCCATGCCACAGTAGAGTAAAATTAATAAGTCTGGTCAATTTCATTGCTGATCTTCAGAACCCAGCAAACAACTATGAAACTGACAGGAACCATGCCAGTTTTATTCTGCCCTTCTTGGGAAAGCTCTGAGTGGTAATGATAGCAAACATTAGCAGTAATTAAATGGGAAGATATCCCAAAATCCTCAAAAAGGCTAGTGGAGGATGAGGATACAAAAAAAACCACCCCTCGCCCGCTGAAATAGCCAGCAAATTGACTGGCAGGGGTTAGGTCTTAGAGCTCCTGTATCCCCAATAAAGAGTCTATGCGTGGGGAGAGGGACAATCTCCATCCAGCAACCAGTTGTAGGCATAAGGAAGAGGAATAATACACCTACTACCCGAATGAAATCATATATCTCTAATTCAGAAGTTATTATGAAAGATTGTGCAATCCAGGTAGGA